TCAAGAAAATCTACATACAGACCCTCGCCTAGATGATTACATAGAGCAGGTATATTTTTATGAAACGAGAAACGGTTACTGGACCGGTAAAAAATAAAATAAGAGAACACATAAATTTTTTCCAAAGGGTAGAATCACATCTTAGAGCACAAACTACAAAGGAATACATAGATGGTTCACTTACTTTAGCTCAAATGTATCGCTACTACAAACTACAGGAAGAGAGTGAAGGAAGGCCTGTGGCTAAAAAATGCACTTACGAGCATATTTTCAAAACTGAGTTTAACATAACTTTCTTTCTTCTAAAATTCTTCTGCTGAACAGCAAGCTACTCTTCATCAAACTTATAATAAACATATCCATAATAAAATTAGAAGCAGAGAAGAAAAAGCACGCGCAACTCAACAATATTGGCAATATCATTTTAAAGTCGTCTACTTTAAAATGCATAATGTATGTCTGAATTGTCAATATAAATGAGTCAGATAAAATTAAATTATTAGAAGAATTTTTCACTATGTAACAAAAAACAAAATTTGTTTAATTTACTGTTTGTATTTTGAGAACGATTTCCGAAGTGGAAATTGAAACGTCAATAAACGTATTTTTATCTTTAATTGTGGCTTATTCAAAGTTTATTAGTAATTAATTTACAATGCCACAAGAAAATAGCTTCAGAACAATATTAAGAAACCGTTATGGGCCCAGCATTATTCAAAATTTTAGGAGATTGGAAATTCTATACAAGAAACTGGCACACTGTCAAAATTCAATTAAATTTTTACGAAGATGTAGAGATAACAACCTAATACCAAAGGGCTTGAAGTTACGTCCAGCATATTCAAGCAGAAGGTTGGAAAACATCCTACATAGAGCCAGTTTGTCCATGATCCGAGAAAGATTACAATATCATAGATCGAATTTATTTTTTGTTGAACAAGATATTGTAAGTATTGAAGATTTGCTTTTCGATGTGATATCAAATTCTGATTTTGATCAAATTATTTTTAGTTTACATATAGTATATGAAAATTCATATAGAAAACAAAGAAATATACATTTAAATAAATTTAATATTCTTTTAGAACAAAACAGTATACACACTTTAGATAACATAAATAGAAATGATGACATATTAGCGACAGTTGTCAATCTATCAAATAGACATTTAAATGCAACGGAGAATTTAATACTGTCAAAGGGTCTAAACTTTGCTATTACTCAGCCATCCGTTCCAAAATTAGACATAATAAGCTCAGTGGAAAAAATATCTCAATGCTTACCAACCCACGAAAAGGAAGAATACAGAGTGTTATGTAAACTTGAATTGGAAAAATCTACTAAAATTGAACAAAACATTAGCAAAGAGGAACTAAAGGCTATAAGAACTTTAAAAAATGACGACTCCATAATCATACTACCAGCAGACAAGGGGAATGCAACTGTGATAATGGATAAAATTCAATACGAAAATAAAATTAAAGATCTATTAATAAACGGACCTTATACAAAATTAACAAAAGATCCAACAAAGTCTTTGGAAAACAAAATATATAGAACTTTATTCAAATTTAAAGATGTTTTAACAAATTATCAGAGAGGATTAATTACACCTCATTACAGTAAGACTCCTCATTTTTATGGAGTACCGAAAATTCATAAAACGAATATACCACTTAGACCCATTTGTAGTACCATGAATTCTCCTTGTAGTGAACTATCAAAATTTTTATTAAATATTTTAAAACCATTTACAAATAAAAATGACACATTCATAAAAAATACACAACATTTTTTAAATAAATTATCAAATATTGAATTTAATTCAAATCATACTTTGGTAAGTTTTGACATAAATAGTTTATTTACGAATGTGCCATTAAATAAGACTTTAAATATAGTCAAGACAAAATTAGAGAGTGATGATTCATTGGCAACTAGAACAAAACTAAACATATCGGCTATAATGGAGTTATTAACATTATGTACTGATAATACATATTTTCAACTAAATAATGAATTCTATAAACAAAATTTTGGTCTAGCAATGGGCTCTAGTTTATCTCCATTCTTAGCCGATATATTTATGGAAGATTTTGAAACAAATATCATTTCTAAACAAAATTTCAAACCCACAGTATGGTGGAGGTATGTAGATGATGTATTCTCAATATGGCCTCATGGATCAGAGTTGTTGGATACATTCCTAAATGATATAAACGATAAAGAAGAGACAATAACATTTACCATGGAAAAGGAATATAATAACATGCTACCTTTCCTGGATGTTTTAATCTCTAAGAACGATACTGGATATGAGACTCAGGTGTATAGAAAACCAACACACACCAATAGATATTTAAATTTCAAATCAAATCACAATATTAATGTAAAAAAGGGAATAATTAAATCCTTATACGATAGAGCCAAAATTACTTGTTCTAATGAAAATTCGTTCTTGGAGGAGAAACATTTGTTAACATCTGTTTTATTGAAAAATGATTATCCTTTATCGTTTATAAATAAGGAATTTTCAACAATCGATCGAATAGAACAGAACAACTTAGAACGAGATCCTACAGCATACACAAGGAATAATATGAGGAAAATAACAATACCGTACATAAAAGGACTATCAGAAAAACTTAAAAGGATAGGAAATAAATTCAACATTTCAACAACATTCAAAACAACAAACACGTTGAGATCTATTTTGTCCAAAACCAAACCTAACAATGAACAAGAAAGGACAAAGAATTGCATTTATAAAATACCTTGTGAATGCGATCAGTTTTATTTAGGTGAATCATCAAGGCCATTAAATGTTAGAATAAGTCAACATCAATCTTATATTAAAAATAAAGAATTTGATAGATCTCAAATCTGTAAACATGCATGGGATAATGAACATAGGGTTCAATGGAGTAATTCAAATGTAGTCCTAAAAGAAACGGATGGTAAAAAAAGAAAAATCAAAGAAGCGGCTCTAATTATGTTAAATGAGGCCAATTGTGTCGCAAATTCTTCGGCAGAATGTAGTAGGATCTGGTTACCAATATTGAAAGAGGAAGTTATTAATAAGAAAATACCAGCATTAGTAAGTCAGTAACATATAGAGGATATTTCATTTATGTTTTTTAAATAACGTAACATATAAAATCAGAATTTTGATGTTTGTTGAAGGTAAACTAAATTCACGAACAAATACCTACAATGTCGGGATAGTATTATGAGGTTTTTTCCTGGTTTTCCCTCATAATTTACTATGGAATCACTAACAGGAGAATTTTACTGTCATCATGTCATGTGTTTGTCTTTTTAAAGACGAATTACATGCTATGATTTTTTCTGACGGATATTCTCAAGTTAAAGTTGATTTCATGTAATCGAATGAACTATCTTATAAGTAAAGTCGTCCCAGGAGCGCAACTCAACAATATTGGCAATATCATTTTAAAGTCGTCTACTTTAAAATGCATAATGTATGTCTGAATTGTCAATATAAATGAGTCAGATAAAATTAAATTATTAGAAGAATTTTTCACTATGTAACAAAAAACAAAATTTGTTTAATTTACTGTTTGTATTTTGAGAACGATTTCCGAAGTGGAAATTGAAACGTCAATAAACGTATTTTTATCTTTAATTGTGGCTTATTCCCAGTTTATTAGTAATTAATTAAACAGAATTACTGACAGTAAATGGACCAAAATTACTACTAACATACGCAAATGACATTGACATTGTGGGAAAGAGTAACCAATGCGGAGACTTTTAATAAATTGAAGGTATGGGCAAAGAAAACTGGTTTAAAATCGAATAGGGCAAAATGTTACAATAGACCCATAAAACTTTGAAAGAGTGGAGAGTTTTAAATATCTCGGAGCAACAATCACTGCAGATAACGACATCGTGGAAGAAATTAAAGGAAGAATTCAAGCAGCAAATAAATGTATGTACAGCCTTCACAAGACTATTAAATCTAAAAGCCATACACGAACATCAAAGATTAGAATAATATATAAAACGGTGATTAGACTGGTGCTTATGTATGGGAGTGAGACGTGGAGCCTGACCAAAGAAACTGAAAGAAAATTTAGATGTTTTGAGAGAAAAATCCTCAGAAGAATCTTGGACCTTATCACAACATTAATAGCAACCAATACGGAATAAGAACAAATGTTGAGGTCAAGCATATGTATAGAGCGAGCGACATAATCCAAGAGATTAAATCCCAACGTCTAAGATAGGCTGGCCATGTCCATAGACTCCCTAATAACCGCCTTGCCAAGTTAATATGGGAGCAAGCGCCCATAGGAAGAAAGCCCTTAGGACGTCTACGAATGCGATGGAGAGACTATTAGAAATTTACTAAGATGCAAATTGGAGCTGAAAGATCAGATAATAAAACATGTGATGGAGTTTGAATATCTAGGCACCATATTATCTAGTTACGGAAAGCTCGAAACTGAGGTGGAAGATCAAGTGAATAGAGTAAACAGAGCCGCAGGGTGTCTGAATGAAACAATATGGAGAAATAACAATATCGGAAAAGAAATGAAGACCTGGCACAGTGAAGACAAAATTTTGTTAGAAACAGCAGAGATGAGTACACTTAGAAAAATTGATGGTACCACTAAGGGACAGAGCTAGAAGTACAGTTATAGGACGTAGATACAAGGTGAAGAACATCAACAACTGGTTAAGAAATAGAATAGTAAATTGTAACGATCATATAAGCCGAAGAACAACAAATAGAGTAGTAAAGACGGCAAGAGACGGTTGCTGGATAGAAAGACGATCAGTAGGAAGACCACGAAAACGATGAAACGACAACTTACTGAAGGCACATTGAAAATCAGACAGAGTCTTGTCTATATAAAAAGAAGAAGAAGAAGAAGAGGATTTTGTTTTACTTGTGACTTAATTGTGCAATGTATATCATAGTGAGAGCTATTACTGTGTTGTACATTTTAATTTTCATGTTAAAATTAAGTTGTTTAATTCTCCACATGATGTGGATTCTGGCAGTTTGTTACTTTATTAGCTTTTAGAGCCTAGCAAGCTGAATTGATTTTGTCAATTGACTACCTATTGATACAATAGGTAGTCGGAACTGATGACAAAAAAAGACCTAGATAGATTTGTGCCTTTATACTAAAGGCATCATATTCATTTTAGATGAAAAAAATATTCTATAAAAAAGTCCACGTCAGTAACCGAGATAACATTTAAAAAAATCATAAAAAAACACTCTTACCTGCACGTAAACTACCATATCAGATAATTCCTTGGATATTTGGCTGCTTTTCTTCTTCAGTTTATCATCTGGTGCAGCTCTCTTTTGTGAACTCGTCTTGGAAACTGCGTGAGGCACACCGTATGGTCGTGGGGAGTCGGTGATATTGATACCGTGAATTGGTTTCTCTGAAAAATATCATGCACAATATAAAAATAAGAAGATGGAACATCAACATTAAAAATTGTTAGGAGTATTTTGGGCAGAATGATTATGCATGATATGGTTGTTGTATATACATAATGGTAATACAACCAATTAGTGCGACACAACAAATCATTGTCTTCTTCTTCATTTCAGAATTTTTAGTAACAGCATAGTAATTTAGTATTTGTTTGAGGAAGTAATTTTTATTTAATATTTTTTTATGTTGGTATCATTTTGTTGTTATTTTGATTGCATTTCCTCATTAATCAAGTAGATATGCAGTTTATAGATTTGTCCCTGTAGTAAACTGGACAGTAAAGACTAAATTACAAACTAAAAGAAAGAAGAAAAGGTCCAATGTTGGATGTTCCATGAAAATGAAAGGATAAAGCAAAAAGTATTTTTAATTAAAGCAAAATTATTTCTTTTGCAAATTTCATATTTTGATTAAAAGGAAAGCCAAACTAACCATCAATATTGTCTTCGTCATCTTCATCATCGTAATCATCATCACTAAAGTCATCGTTAAACGAACTGCTGCTGGTGTTACTGATGATCGAGCTTGTCCGTCCAGGCACCGAATGTCGCATCCCTCCACTTCCCGGCCTTATCGGTGTCGACATGGTTGCAAAAGTCAGTGGTGGCGGTACGTCCATTATTAATTTCTTATTTTTTATCAGTATCCTATTCTTCAATTGCTCCGGGGAAGGCAACGATGGTTCATCACTATAGTCCGAGTCGAATAGAAATGAGGTCACTAGTTTGTCTCCAAAGATCCTCTAGAAGATGAAAAACATAAAGATTACTTTGATTATGTTTTACAAACATTTTTCAAAATTTAAATGAAAATCATTGCACAAAATTCCTGTTTTTGTGATGTACATACCTGAAAAATATGAGCCATTCTGTTTTGCTGCTGTAGAGAGCAGTGATTTTCTATCGATAAAATAATTGGGTACGGAGACGTCACGAAGGCATTCTTGTCAATAGTTTCTACTACAGCACTGAAAGGAATTTTGGTGGTGAAAGTATGCCCGTGGTAGATCATGGGGTATCCGTCGTCTCCGTCCCAACAGTCGAGCTCCACACATCTACAGCCTGTCAGTAAAACCTGAAAAAACGTGTTAAAATAATGTAGCAATTAAACGGCTAAAAATTGGGGCTATGAAATTGTTCATCCAGTTTGCATTTTTTAGTCAAAATCTTAATGAAAAAATATTTTTTATGGAGAAATATTTAATATAAATCTTGTTGAATCATATTAGTAAAATATTATGTAGTGAATTTTACAATTTACTATCATATTTTTTAATAAATAACTTTGGAGTTATCCAATTTATAATTACTTCTTTTGACAGAAAAGATTTGATTTTATGTTTGTTCTTGAGCTTCTAAATAGTTGCTATGAGGAGTCCTGATAGGATAAAATACGTAAGGTAAGTTGGGGTAAGATCGGAGACGGGGCAAGTCCGAACGCAGCCTGTAAAATTGATATAGGTGTGGCAACAGCGCCGTAAACACTCGCCTCGTGGAGCAAGTAAAGGTATGCACTGCATAAACAAACGGCGGTTTGCTTCTAGGGTTTTCGTCTGAAATATTTGCAATTTTGTGTTTTTTTGTTTATTTTGTGCATTCGAACTTACCCCATTCATCAAACATTGCTTCAAAAGGTAAGTGAGAACATTATATAGGTAATCTGTGCTGTAAATGTTTCATCTTTATAAACTCTTTGAACTAGTCAATCATAACCTCAATTGGGTGTGTTATTATGAGTTGGTTCGATCTTTCCCCATACGTAGATGTACGGGGCAAGATCGACTCGAATTTTTCCGACCTTACCCCAAAGCCTATAAAGAAGTAATTTTTATTACAGTTTTGAAGATGGTCCGAAAATATATAAGAAAATCCGACAGGTGCAGCAAATACACCAAGGAAGACCTTGCGAGTGCCATTAGTGAATTGGAAAGAGGATCAATAACCCTTCACGGGGTAGCAAAAAAATATAACATCCCAAAATCGACGCTTCATGATCATGCTAAAGGAACCCATGCGTCAAAAAGTAAAACGCTGGGAAGGAGCTTGGCAATTTCCTTAGAGCATGAAGAGACTTTGGCAAATGGTATTAAAACTCTTGAGAAATGGGGGTTTGGCCTTTCCAGAAAGGAATTATTATTTATTGTAGCTGAGTACGTAACAAGAAATGATATTAAGACTCCTTTTAAAAATAATATGCTTTCAATTAAAATAAACTTTCAATTGAAATAAACTTTCAATTAAAAAGCCCCAAGCGGTGGAGTATTCAAGAAAAAAAATGACTGATCCTTTTGTGGTCAACGATTATTTTGACCTATTGAAAAGAGTTTTAGATTACTTAAAATTAAACAATCTTCCACACCAAATACGGAATTTAGACGAAACTAGTCTGTCAATCGACCCATGTAAGACAAAGGTAGTTGGTGCTAGAGGTGCAGCTTGTTCCCGTGTAACCAGCGGTCCCGGAAGAGAGAACGTAACAATTTTGTCCGCTGTAAATGCTGCTGGTGAAAAAGCGCCCCCTTTAATTGTGTTCAAGGGCAAGAATGTATGGGACCAGTGGATGGCAGATCCAGACGGCGAAACAGATTTAGCATACGCTGCTAGTAGCAATGGTTGGATGGAGACTGATATTTTTGTCAACTTTATTAAGAAAACGTTAATGCCTGTTCTGGGTGATCAACGACCGGTCTTGCTTATATACGATGGGCACAGTACGCATGTAGATAATAGAGTAGTAACTCTTGCACAAGAAAATGACATGACTATCTTAAAGCTTCCGCCACATACCTCTCACTTATTGCAGCCCCTCGATCTTGCTGTGTTTAGGTCATTTAAGACATCTTGGGATGAAGAACTAGTCAGTTGGCAAAGAAAGAATCAGGGCGTTAAATTGCCAAAAAAAGTATTTTCCGAAAAGGTGCGCAAAATATGGAATAATATTAGTTCAGTTGTAATACAGAATGGATTTAAGAAAAGTTGAATATATCCCTTCAATCCATCAGTTATTCCAAAAGAAAAATACCATCCCGAAGCATTAAAACGATTTGAAAATATGAAGCAAGTCGCAACAGTGGTAACTGACGTAGCAAATGGTAATAATGAAACTAGGGACATATTAGATGCAGGACCAAGTAATGCTTCACCTACAAACACGACTAACAGAGAAACATTTGAGGGTCAGTCTGGACTAACAAATGTTTCATTTGAAGACCTTATACTTGACATTGTGAAACAGAGCTCCGTAAGTGCTAAAGTCGTCAAAAAAAGACGTGTTGCAACAGGTGCTGAAGTCATCACGCACAAAGATGCAGCTCAATTATTGGAATCTACCAGTAAGTGCCCATCACACACTAACACGCCAAAAAAACAAAAGTCTCGAATCTCAGAAAGTTCTAGCAGCGAAAGTGACATTGAACCAATGTATGAAGAATTTGATAAGGATTCAAATTTCCTTGATGAGGAGCAGGCAGATGAAACGTTCGAAAACCTAGAAAAAAACGCTTGGATATTAGTTAAATACTGCAGCAAGAAAACCATAAAATATTATGTTGGTAAAATAATAGAAATAGACAAAGTTCATCGCGAATGTGTTGTAAAGTTTTTAAGATTTAATGAGAAAGTCAAAAAATTTGATTGGCCTAAAACTAACGATATTGACACTATAATCTATGAAAACATAGAAATGTTCTTACCGAATCCTTTACAGGATGAAAAAAATTATCTGTAATTCGCCGTTGAATTTAATGGACTAAATATTGCTTAAGATTTTTATTTTGTAAATTTTTCTAATAAAAATGTTAATTCTGTTCTAGTTTTACGTTGATTTTATTCATATACGGGGTAAGATCGAATGCAGAGAAAAATTAGACATGTATAAATTTATGGTTTAAATAGTAAGAAATTTACCAGGGGCTTGTTCGGAATTCGATGTTACCCCGTAGGTGTTCTTGAAATACTTATATTATAATTTTACAAGTTGTCCGACCTTACCCCATACGCGGGGGCAAATTCGAACGACTGCATTTATTTTATTTCATTTTTTTTTATAAACTTTCTTATTAACAAATATTGAGTTTTATCCTGCAAACTCTTTGCTTATGAGTTAAAGTTAAGCCATTCACATTTTGATAATTTTTTAAACTTATCTTATTGTTGTATTGTCAGGTAAATTTTGACTAATCTAAATTCCGTGCGATCTTGCCCCAACTTACCTTATAAGAAAATAGTAGAAGCACTATACTAAAATCATGTCTTTTCTAATACTTTTCATTTTTTTTCGTTTCAGTGGCGCACACTTTATAAACCTCTTGTATATTCTATTACCTAAATCAGATTACCAACCATACATATAATAATTTCTCCAAATATTCTTCTTACCTGACTATAAAGTTCTACTGAAGACTCTCCTTTCAGTTGGTGACCAGTCAGATAGGTGTTGTGAGACGAGGCTATGTAGTAAGTAGATAGAGGGCGAGTCATGTTGCCCTCAACTGGAGCTTCCGTTTCTGAAATGAAACTAAAGTTTTCCTTGTCCATGAGGTACCGAGCAAACCCTTCGAAAGAGAGGCAATTCTGAGCGCGTAATGTGGCATCAGGCTCGTGTCTCTGCAAAAAGTTTATTATATTATTTTCTGTAAATTTTTAGTAGAAAATTGATGTTTTTAATTACTTATCACAAAATATTTAATACTACTGATATAAAATCTATAAAACAACAAAAAATGAGTGAAAAGGTTGCATGCTGGTCACTTTGAGCCCATATTTTGTTTGGAAACGGGTATACTACACAGGAAAAGGTCCCAAGTAAAAAGGTATATGTTAACTCATATAAAATCCGGAAAAAAAACGTTTATTTTGTCTTTTTTCTTCAAGTTACATCTAATATAATCTGTGTATCAATCTGGCAAGTGTTATGCTTTGTAAATATTCTGTAGAATTGTTTTTAATGTAATTTAGAGCAAATCCATTAAAATTAGGAGTCAAGAGTTCTTTTAATTAACTTCTTACTCATATTTTACATTCTTTTATATTTTATATTAACCAATTCTTTCACAACAAGCTGAAGAAAAGAAAACATCTTAAATGGTCATCTTACGTACCATTGCATAAGTTATATTAGACGTATATATACTGGAAACACAGAAAAAAATGGAACAAAGAAGAAAACTGAGAAGCGACGAAAACTCTAGTAACGACGATATAAATAGAATAAACAAGGAAGTATCAAGAGAAATCAGAAAAGACTTAAGAAAATACAAAGATGAGAAAATCATCAAAACCATTGAGGAAAATAAGAGTAGGAAAATAATGAGACGCAAACTCACAAATGGAAATAAACAAATAGTCAAACTCAATGATAGAAATGGCAACATCACATCAAACAGAGAACATTTGTTACAAATTGTGGAATCATTCTATAAGACATTATATAGCAACCAATCGACTCTAGATATAGTCGAATATCAACAGAGGAAGGTGCAAAATCAGGGTTCCGAAGATATTCCAGAAATCTCCTTGAACGAAATTTACAAGGCCCTAAAAAAGACGAAGAATAACAAAGCTCCGGGGGAGGACGGTGTCGTCACGGAAGCGATAAAGATAGGAGGCTCAGTACTGATAGCCAAAATTCAAAAGCTCTTTAATCTATGCCTATGGAATCAAAATATCCCAACAAAGTGGAATAATTCAATAACTGTACTCTTACACAAGAAGGGAGATATAGCAGACCTGGAAAGATACAGACCAATCAGTCTCCTTAACCATCTTTATAAATTATACACCAGAAATATTAACGAATAGATTAGAGACAAAGCTGGATTTTTACCAACCTCGGGAACAAGTTGGTTTCCGCCCTAATTACGGCACAAACGATCACCTGCAGTGCCTAAAAACCCTAATAGAAAAAACTAACGAATATAACCGTCTCTTGGCATTGATATTTGTAGACTTTAAAAAGGCGTTTGATACAGTGGAACTACCGTCCATCTTAAGAGCACTACACGATTGCAGGATCGACCACAGATATTGTAATATAATTAAAAATATATATGAAAATGCCACAACAACCATAAGTCTATATTCTGCAACTAATAAAATAAAGATAAAAAGGGGAGTCAGGCAAGGTGATACCATGTCACCAAAGCTGTTCATTACCGTTCTTGAGTATGCATTGAAAAAACTAACATGGCAACAGAAACGAATATCCATCGATGGAGAAAGATTAAACCATCTACGTTTTGCGGACGATATCGTGCTTCTGTCAGATAATCTATGAGAGATCAAAGACATGCTCCAAGAACTGAATGACATACTACAAGAAACTGGGCTGGAGAGAAATTTCGATAAAACCAAAATGATGACCAATATGGTTCCCAGCGAAGAGATACAGATCAATAACAACAAGGTAGAATTAATCGATAAATACACATACTTGGGCCATGAAAGTAGAATAACCAGAGACAACCAAACCTGCGAGCTAAATAGACGAATCATGTTGGGATGGGCGGCATATGGACGGATGAGAGACATTTTTAAAACAAATATCCCAATTCACCTGAAAAGGAAGGCATTTAACCAATGCATCTTACCAGTCTTGACCTACGGAGCAGAGACCTTAACTGTAACGAAAGCTACTGCTGAAAAACTGAGGGTAACACAGAGGCGAATGGAGAGATCAATGCTGGGCCTGACCTTGAAAGATCGCGTAAGAAATGAGGAGATACGCCGACGAACTGGCGTAGACGATAGTATACTGCGAATCAATAAACAAAAGTGGAGGTGGGCTGGACATGTTGCTAGAATGGAAGACGGAAGATGGACGAAGAGATTATTGGAGTGGATACCAAGAGCCGACAAGCGAAGTCGAGGCAGACCACCCACCCGATGGACCAACGACCTAAGGAGGATAGAAACAAACTGGATTGCAGCAGCTAGAGATAGAGAGAATTGGAGACGTTTGGAGGAGGCCTATATCCAACAATGGATGTGAAAATTCGGCTGGATGATGATGATACTTATATGCCTAAAGGATTGGATACGAGACATTTAAGGGACATCTGCATACAAGGCTCTATCCTACAGACTTAAACTGCAGACCGAAAATATATGTCAATATGGCATGTACAAGGTCAATTTACTTGACCATGTACAAGCTGAGATACGGTTCCTAAATTCTAAAACGAGTCTTATGAATAAAAGGAAGATAAACAAGATCCCATTGAACAACTTTGACTCTACTTACTGATATTAAGGCTTTGACTTGCTCGTCAGTCATCACTTCCATCTGCCGAGTTTCTAAAAATTTCGTAAACGTAGACATCGTTATCACTTGTGAATTGTTCGTATCGATCCCTGCACAGTTCGTGAAGATACTCGCAGCGGCGATTGCATCGAAAATTTTTTTCTGAGAATTTACTACGACACCCTCTAACTCTGCTTTGCTATTTCTCGTTAGTAAGCCTGTAAAACAAATGTTATAAGTAGATAACAAATTGGTAAATGTTTGAAAAAACTACACAGAAATGTGCAATGCTTTTCACGTATTTAGTTTAACTGTCTTTCTTTGTAAACAAAACGACTATAGATAGATGTTTGTAAATGTTGTGTAGGGATCATTTATTGAGAAGTCCCTGGATAACGCTGAGCACATATGCTTTGAATGGTATCCAGTTTGGTTAATTATAATATTAATCCAGTTTGGTTAAGATTAATTATAATATTTCCAACAATAACTGTAAATAGTTGTCCCAGGAAAAATCTATTCGTGAATTATGCCGAGCAAAGTATCGATATCCCTCATTTTAACAGGAATAACGCAAAAGTTCTTAGTGTTTCGCTCATATTTGCCAAAATTCTTTGATCGGCATACAGACACCCTCTATTGTATGTCCTCCTACCGAATTTTGCCTCGTATGTTTCCACCATGCTACTTGGGATTCCTAGTTTTGTAGAGGTGATTTTAGCGAAACTTATAAATACTTTTCTGCACAATATGTAGCAGTTAACCATTGTGGTATGAGATATTCCCAACTCGCTCTACACGAGAGTTTGATGAGGAGGCTTCAAATGCAATAAAACTCACACTAGCAAACATATTTCCATCCCATATTATTTTTTTAGATAGGCATTTTTCAGGTTTAGTTTTAGCTTTTTGTCTGTATTGGGTAGTGATATCACAGTTATTTTAAAGTAAAATGTGACATAAAACCTAAACTGACATTAACGTCTTGCTGATACGCGGCTGAAAGCCCTAAAAAGTTGATATTTATTAAATCATAGAATGCGTGCTATATAAAAAGTTAACATAGAATGCGTGAACGTGATGTTTTACGAAAAATATGATATAAAAGGTAACTTTTGATATAACATGGTATGTTTTATATACAACGAGACCTCATACGTGACGATCCAACTATCACAGTGACAGTTTACTATAAACAGCTTTGTAATGCCATTTTCTGGTCCAGAACATACAAACTATATCTACTACATTATCTACAGACTGGTCGGATCTGGTAAGTTAGATCCAGTCGTTCAGTCCTTCTGGGTCATCGGGGCTGGATTGGGTCAGTTCTCTTGTAACTGGATCAATTGTCTAAATGTTTCCGTTTTCTGCTGACTAATGTAGTTTATTTTAGTACACTTAATGGCTGTTCTAGCAGCTCAATTCCAGAGCATCCGATAACTTTCAATTTTGGAGCAAAAATTTGCTAAATATTTTTCTGGCAAACCTCTGTCTTTTTGGGTTTAAAAGATTATGGTGTTGTATAGCTCATATCGTAAGAACTCATCCAATACCAGCATCATAGTTAAAATATTTTGGTATACGTTTTAATAATATATAAAATATCTTACCTAACTTTTGTGGTTTCTTTGGTTGGGCCACTTTGGACTTAACACCATTAATTTTACTAGTATTCACAGCCATACTTCTGTAAGATATTGCTAGTTGTTCGAATAGATCTCTTAGATCCTTCCTAATTAGTAAACTAAAACAAAACATATGATGCTATAAATGGCCTATTATAAACAAATATTAACAGGCTATTTTAGTAACTAAATGACTTACCTAAAAGAACGGAAAAGAGTAACAAAATCTACAAAATCCAATTGAGTATCGTACAATATTGAGCCAACTCTCGGATGTCTCCCATGCCATAGATGTTCCGTTGAGCCATGTCTATCTCTACAAACGTACAATCATTAAAGAATAATGGTGGAGAAATACATTTTTAACGTATAGTACCTGTCAAATTTTGGCTGGGATGAGTTATACGCCAACTGGCCCAAACTATGATGTCTGGCAACGTCGTGTTGGTGGTCCGAGAAGGTAGTAGGCGTAGACTGGCGATGATGCGTGGGGTTTCTCCAATAGCTGCTCTCCATGCACATTGTAGTGGGTTCTACGAATTGAGCACGAAGACTTCTATCCTAAAATTAATATGAAAATGAAAATAATAAAATCTTAAATTGGCGTATGACAAATGAACGATGTGACATAAAAATGAAGCACATAAATTAATATGTAGAGAACCGTGTGGTTGTTAAACATTTTTCTTACTTTAAACGTTTGGTTACTAAGCAGCTGCTTCTTCTTGATCTTCATCGAAACTTCCCTCCTCAATGCTCCCGAAGATTCCCCAGCCTGTCCTCCCGTTACTCCCGCAATGGACCAGTCCCTGCCTCCAAACGACTGAAAACAAAACAGATAAAACAAAGATTCTATTTCTGTTAAAGGAAATCCTTACTCGGATGGCATCTGCAGCTAGTGGTCCACAGCAGTATCCATCTTCATGATATAGCTGCATGTATTGCTCCCGTAACCACAGTAATCTTCTATCACAGAGTGCTTGTTGCCTTGTTAATCCTTTTATTAACCAACAAAGACCACTAAACCAGACTCTGTAATTAAAAAATTATTGTCAGGTAGGAGACTTGTTCAAAAAGGCGCCAGTATTTTGAGAGCCAGTACAAACAAATTGTTATCTCAGCATATAATATAGTAAAAGCTACTATTTGCCCAGAAATGTCTTGGAGTAAAAATAAACATAATTTCAAAAGTTATGCATTATCAGAGACTAGTGCTATAGATCATTTATAAAAAAATATCACAACGTTGACAAATATATTTTTTTAAAAGATATACTGTTTTTTTTATTACATAAAAAATTAAAAACTAAAAAAATTATTTTTTATAAGATACAAGATGCCACCATGGGCATCGATGCAAGCCTGGATTCGAGCTCTAATAGTGCTAACCTGTCGATCAATCATTTCCTGTGGCAGATTCTCCTATTCTTCTCTACAGCTAATTTATTATAAGTTCATGATGGGTTATAGGAGGATTTCTTTGGGCATGAACAGCTCTGGATAGCACATCTCAAGCGTGTTTAAAAGGGTTCGTGTCTGGAAATATCGCCACTCCAAACGGCGAATATCTTCTGTCTTAAGATAGTCATTAACAGCTCGAGTCTATGTGGGCGGGCGTTATCATCCATAAATACAAAATTTTTACCCATAGCTCCGCGCCAATCACAAATTTGCCGGCTATCACTACTTAAACTGATTCTGGACTTGTCTAAAAAAACACAAAATTCCAAAACTGTCAAGGAAGCTATATGTGTTCTTAAGCCCACTGGAAGAGGTGCAAAACATGTCTTGGTTGTATATATAATAGCGTTACAGGCTCCTGGCTTCTAAAATCTTGGTTATTTCCCCACATTTTTGTCGGTCCCTTGCTTTCTCTCTCCAATTTCACACGCCTATTTCTGACAAGTCTTGCTTTATTGCTTCCAACCATTTCTTCTTTGGACGTTTCTTCTTTTTTCCCAATATTCCCCATCAGTATTGTTTTAACCTTTCGATTCTTTGGCATTCATATAATGTAAAGCCATCTAGCTCTTTGGACTTGTATTTTTGACGTTATTGCTGGTTTTCCATACAACCTCATTATTTTTTATTTGTTCGTCTTCTTCAAATATTCTCTGCCGTCTTTATTCCTCCAAAGATTCTTCTAAGCACCTTTCTTTTCCAGATCTCTACTTGCTTTTCTTCCTGCTGGTTCAATATCCACGTTTCACTGACATACATCACTGTGGATCTAATTACTGCCTCGTAAACTCGCAGTTGAGCTGTTCTTGACACATTTTTTGCTTTCAATAATGAATTTAGTCACAATATCGCTCTGTTTTCTTTCATTAATCTTTTGTCTATCTCTTTTTCTTCTTTTTCCATGTTCGTTATGGTTACTCCTAAGTATTCAAATTCCGACACCTTTTCAAAACTATAGACAGTCTCTGCTACTTTCATTTGTATTTATTTGTTATGTATCCTCTCATTTTCATATATTGCGTTTTTATTTGGTTTCTTATTAATCCGTATCTTTTCGCTTCTTCAAATTTTTGGAAAACTTTTTCTAAATGTTTTTATGTTCTCGCTATTATCACTACATCATCCGCGTACGCTATAAGTAAATTCGTTGATCGTGGATCCCCTTGTTTTAAACCTCTAATGACTGTGAACTGTCTTGAAAAATTTCCTTCCATTGTTACCCTATTTATCGTGTTTCTCAGCGTCATTCTGACTAGCCTTATAAGCTTGTCTGGTACATATTTCTAATGTTCTTATGGCCTCATATAGCATCGTTCGATTTCTTCCTTTTGCCAAATTATTAAAGTAAGGGAAATACCCCTTTCTTCAATCTTTCGCCACCTTTCTTAAAAATCGAAGCTGGGATACCACTTTGTCCATGTCTAGGTTCTAGCTTAGGATTCTTGTTGGTTAACGATTCCTCAAACTTCAAACTAAAATTCTTTTTCCTATTGTAGCCAAGGATACTCTGAATCCTGTAGCATGCCTGAAGTTTTCTTGGAGAGCTAATACAGACAGAAGAATTTCTTTGAATGAAAATTCTGATATATTTATTCTGTTGCTCATTGGTAAGTTGGGATCTACCAGAGCGATCTCTATTGATTCTGTATTGAATTTGTCTGCAGAAACCTATTCTGTATCCATGAGATATCACTGTGAGAAATTATAAATTTAGAATAAATTTTTCAAATGTTTACACCTTGGCAAAACCAGTTTAATTAAATGGGTAGTTAAATAAAGTAAAAATAATAAAAAAACGTGTATTTTATATGAAAAAACTCTATTAAATATGTGATAAAAATACGGATTTATAAAAATGTAAAAATCCTGAAAACGAGGGGTAATGTATAACTTTGGAAACTATGTGTATAATGAATAAATGCATTCTCAAGAATCAAAAACTTGACGAAACTAACCTACAGACAACCG